TCACCTCAGCCTCCCAAAGGCGTGGGATTACAGGCTGAGCCACCGAGCCCGGCTTGGATAGAGGCATTTAAAGATAACTTTTCAAACCATATTCCTTCTTCTGTCTTGTAAGCTACAGTAGCAAGGACGTGGGGCCCAGGTTGTCAGTCAGCTGTGTGCTGCATGTTTACAGTCACTGGTCATGGAGTTCACTAATGCTGTGCTTCTCTCTCCTTTTTGAGAAGGCTTCTCTGGTAGTGGTCTGGAAGGCAGCTACTGTCTATGAGCGACCACTTTGTAGCTCAGCCAACTTTGGTGCCTTATAAACATTGTCTGATTTAATCCTTCCAGCAGTGCCGTTAGATACTGTCAGCCCCATTTTATGGTTGAAGACTCTGAGCTGAGTAGTGACATAACATGCTGGAGGTTATAGAACGTGTGGCCATGCTGTGTAACCTGGCAGTACCCGCAGGTGTTAATTGAGCACCTCAAGACTCCAAGCATTAGCTTGGTCCTGGGAAGACAGTTGTATGTGAACATGACCCCTGTGGCAGGAGGGAGTCGCCCTGTGGGGTGAGATGCCAGCAAAAGATCCAGTGGCTGAAGTGCCAGTGACGCTGTGGCGAGCACAGGAGCAGGGCTGGGGTCCTGGGTGGATGGGATTGGATGGTGACGTTCCCAGGAATGGAGATACTCAGGGATTCAGGAGTACAGCTTAGGTGACTATGCGGGAGGCTGGGGCTGAAGTCAGGTGGCCGTGGGGTGCCGGGCCCAACCCTGGATCCCGGGATGTTCTGGCACTCCTGGGCCAGCAGTGGACCAGGCCTGTGGGCCAGTGGATGTGCTCATAGCAGTGCGGGAGGACAGGTTGTGGCAGAAGAGACAGGAAGCCCAAACAGCGGAAGCTGAGGCAGCCCAGGCAAGAGCTAGGGGACAGTGGCTATGTGAGACTGGAGAGGACAGCAGCCAAGATGGCTCTGGAAGAGGTGCTCGGACTCAGCAGTGCTAGGTTTCCCAAGGCTGAGAGTCCTCATCTTGAAAAAGCTTCACAGTTTAACGGGGGTTTCAGTGTGTGTGCACATGTGTACATACAGGTGTGCATACACATTCTCACATGTACACCACACATGAGCACACACATACACGTACCCTACACACTGCCTCTCCTTGTCCCAGGGAGTGAAAGTCCCCAGTACTGAGAATGTGTAGTTCATGTTCTTGCTGTGTTTGTTCCTTTAAAAGAGGTTCTGGAACTCTGAAGCATAGTTTGAGAGGGTACCCTGTTCTGTCTCGTAGGACTTTGTGTTCTATGCCCCCCGCCTGAGAATTAACAAGCGGATCCTGCAGCTCTGCATGGGGAACCACGAGCTGTACATGCGCCGCAGAAAGCCTGACACCATCGAGGTGCAGCAGATGAAGGCCCAGGCCCGGGAGGAGAAGCACCAGAAGCAGCTGGAGCGGTGAGTGCCAGGCCAGGGTGATGCTGACTCTGTGCTTAGCCCCAGTCAGAAGAGCCTGGGTCTCAGGCAGTTGTGTGGTGCCGAGCCCAGTGTCAGCCTTGCAGAGCCGAGGGGCGGGGTGCTCAGTAAGCAGGAGCTGCTTGACACCCCCTCAGGCCCAGTCCTGTGGGGGCTCTGGGACTTTTCATGCAGCCTTTCCTCCAGGAGGCTGGGGGCAGGCCAGGGCTCGCTCCAGGCTGCTGAGTTCATCTGGGGCCCCAGCCTCCCTCCTCACCAGACTCTGAGTCTTCCTGCCCCTCTCTCTTCCCTTCCCTGTACCAGGCAACAGTTGGAAACTGAGAAGAAAAGGAGAGAAACTGTCGAGAGGGAGAAAGAACAGATGATGCGTGAGAAGGAGGAGCTGATGCTCAGACTGCAGGACTATGAGGAGAAGACCAAGAAGGCAGAGAAAGGTCGGGGTTGGCGCCGCTGCCAAGGGTGTCCATGCTGGGTCGGTTTTTAATCTTTGCAGAGAGAGAGACAGGGTCAGCCTCAGTTCACACAGCCAGGAAGGAAAGCTCTTCCCAGGAATGTGTGTCTTGGCTTAACACACCCTGTTACAAACCTTAGAAACAGGTTTGTCACAGGAATGATAGAGTGGATGTTTGGTTTAGAAAATAGTCCTGTGCTGTGTTAAACTAGGGTACTGTTTTGTGTATGTTGTCCTTTGGAATTTTCCTGGTCCTTTCGGTAAGTATTGAGTCACCCTATTTCCTGAAGAGGATGTTAAGATTTAACAGGTAGAATAATTTGTTTGGGCATAGCCAGCGAGTGACAGAGCCATCTACACTGCTCTTCCACATTCTAGACTAAAAACCAAGGGCCTTGTTAAGAGGCAGACCCCTCAGCACAGTCTCTAGCAGTGCTCCATTATATGCAGAGTCACGTGATAGTCCTGGCCCTCCAGGGGTTTTCATCTAGTGGGAAGATGCCGTGTTCATTGGCAGTTCTTACATCAAAGGGGCGCTTCTGGATTCTGAGTGAAGCATAGAGGAGCAGCACCAGCACAGCAGGGGGCTGACCAGAGGAGAGGAGTTAGTGCCAGGCGGGTGCAAGAACCAGACCCTTGCCAGGGAAGGGACATCTGACAAGCTTTACACAATGGTGTCTAGCCATCTTGGGACAGCTGTCGTAGAAACAACAGGAGTGAGCCAGGAAGTACCATCCTCAAGTGTTACTGAAAGATGTCCTGTCCACCTGAAATTCGGTCTCAGGCTCTGTGGTTTGGAGTGTAGCGTCTATCCCAGCATTCTTCTGAGAGCGAATGGAAGGCAAGGGCTCTCAGGCCCCTGGCCTCAGGGCTTGAGCAGTTCTGGCTTTGTGTCCTTTCCTCAGAGCTCTCAGAGCAGATTCAGAGAGCCTTGCAGCTGGAGGAGGAGAGGAGGCGGGCGCAGGAGGAGGCCGAGCGCCTGGAGGCTGACCGTGTGGCCGCACTGCGGGCCAAGGAGGAGCTGGAGAGACAGGCGGTGGATCAGATAAAGAGCCAGGAGCAGCTGGTAGGAATCACCTGGGTTTCGGGATGCTGAATTATAGAGAGGCTGCTTCTGGGGATCAAATGAGTGACACCCTCCTTGTAATAATTTTCATTACTGAAAGCTGTAAGCTGATCTGCTGGGGTGAAGCAGCTGGTGGCGGGGGGCTGTGCCACTGTCTGGGTTGCCCACGGGAAGTAGATGTGGGCACTAGGGAGAGGCCCAGGGGTGGTACAGTGGACCCTACTGGCCACAACAAGGTGGGAGGGGCTTGGGGGGTCATGGTACAGGTTGTTTGCCACCACACCCGGACACTTGCTCCAAGGACTCTGCTGAAAGAACCCCAGAGCCCACTCTAGCTCCACTTCCCTTCCCAGGCGGCAGAGCTTGCAGAATACACCGCCAAGATCGCCCTCCTGGAGGAGGCGCGGAGGCGCAAGGAGGACGAGGTGGAGGAGTGGCAGCACAGGGTGAGTGCACTGGAAGCCTCGCATGGCCGCCCCGCCTCCCACATGGCCACCAAGCGCTTTGCCCTTAGTGGGGCCTTCTGTAGGAGGTGGGGAAGGGGGTTCTTTCTGGCAGGTCCCATTAAAAGCTTCTGGGAAACTCACAACCCCCTGCCAGGACCAGCAGGTCCTACTGCAGCAGATGCCCCCATGGGCATGGGCTTGACCTTGTACACTACTGAGGACAGCCATGGGGTTAGTGGAGAGACAGAGTGTACGGTCCATTTTCACCCACTTGGCTCTGCGCACCCTGAACTATCCAGCCCTGGTCAGACAGCCCCCAGTCAGAACTGATTTCAAGTCTGATAATGTGGATTCCCCCGCAATGGGGCCACAGGGCCTGAAACAAGACCTCCTGACAGCCTGTATGTACAGTGGGCACCAGGGAAAGATGCTAGCTCTTGGAGTTCTCTACACTGGGGACCCCAGCTCAGCTTTGTGCCTGGGTTAGTAACTTCACCCCTTGGGGTCCCGTGCCCAGCACCTAGCACAAAGGCTCTGTCGGTTGTAGCTGTAAACGTGGGATGCACGCCAAGAGCTCTTCTTCATCCGACCCCATGTTCCCCCAGGAAAGCCTGTGGATGGTTCCCATTGTGGGTGTGGCACCAAGCTTCAGGAACCTCCTCTCCCCTCACAAGCCCTCCCGCTGGCCTTTTCCCCATGTGGCATCCCCCTCCAGGGCCACTCGTGCCTGGTGCCCTCTTGCTGCTCCTCTCTGTCCCCCACCCCACACCCTACCCTAAGTCCAGAGACTTCGGTTCTTAGGTTTTGGAAAAAGTAGTTGCAATAAAGAATTAGTGAGAAAGGCTGGTTGCAAAGCAGATCCAGACCAAGCTCATGTTCAGGGTTGGGATGGAGGTGGCGGAAGTGGGTATGGTGTGTGTGTGGGAAGCCTTGGACAGGCTTGAAGTGAGGGGGATGAACACACCTGAAAAATGAAACCGCACCAAGGCGAGGGGTGAATGCATACCAGCACGCTCCTAGCGCTCTGGTAGCTGGAGGATTTGTGGTTTTTTTGTTTTTGTTTTTTTTAATGTATACAATCAGCATATTGGGATTATCAATGAAAAAAAAAGAAATGGTACTTTAAAACCTGTCCAGGCTCTGGCGTCAGTTTCTTTCTTCTGTGCATGTGACTGATAAGGATCCAGGGGGCTGTGAGCCCCAGACCCTACATGGAGGTGCAGGGGGGAGTCTTCTGCTAAGCCTGCCAGGAGTGAGAGAGGGCCGGAGAGTACCTCTTCTCCAGGAGGAAGGGCCCTCTTAAAGAAAATGGCCCAGACCCAGAGGTTTTTTTGAGTGAGACATTTTCACCTATTAATTTGCTCTCCAAAGGCCAAAGAAGCCCAGGATGACCTGGTGAAGACCAAGGAGGAGCTGCATCTGGTGATGACAGCTCCTCCACCCCCGCCACCCCCCGCCTATGAGCCAGTGAGTTACCACGTCCAGGAGAGCCTGCAGGAAGAGGGTGCGGAGCAAACAGGCTACAGTGCGGAGCTGTCCAGCGAGGGCATCCTGGATGACCGCAATGAGGAGAAGCGCATCACCGAGGCTGAGAAGAACGAGCGTGTGCAGCGGCAGCTGCTGGTGAGAGGGCGCTGGGGGACTCCCAGGTCTCGGGCCTGTGCAGCTTCATCACAGCAGACAGGCTTTTGACAGGGCTGTGACAGGAGCCAGCCCAACCCCACACCCTCCTGCCCTGCCACATGTCCTAGGGGAGGGAGGGGTCCACCTGACGATGCTTCTCTATGTTGCAGACGCTGAGCAATGAGCTGTCCCAGGCCAGGGATGAGAACAAGAGGACCCACAATGACATCATTCACAATGAGAACATGAGGCAAGGCCGGGACAAGTACAAGACCCTGCGGCAGATCCGGCAGGGCAACACCAAGCAGAGGATCGACGAGTTCGAGGCCATGTAACGGCCAGGGCTGGACCCAGGGCAGGGGTGACCCACTCCAGCCCTGTCACGCTTGCATCTTAGTGCTCCACAGCTTAGGCCCCCTTGCTCATCCCATCCTTTAGAAAGAGAGCAGTTATCCAGGCGGAGATCTGGGCTGGGAACCAGCAACCGCCTCCCTGGTTTGTTTTTCCCAGTTGTATCCTAGTGCCAAACAGGCCTGATTTTTATGATTATTCTCAAATCACTTCTTGTGTTGTGCTTGGAGCAGGACTGATTGAATTAAGAAAAATGCCTGTAAAGTCTGAGTGACAAACTTCATGCTGGCCTGTGTGATACAAAATTCAGTATCATTAAAGAAAACCACATCGTGGCTTACATCTGTGCCATACTTTTTCTGTATTTGAAATGAGCTCAAATTGATTGATCGATTTTTTGATTTCTATGAAGGATCCATCTTTGTATATTCGTGTTTTGAGGGGTGAAAATTATTTTGGAAATTGAGTCTGAGGCACTCTCACATGCACACACAATGATTTCACTCCTCCCGTCACTCAGCGCAGCTGGCAGAGACTGCAGGGTCACTCAGTGTGAGCAGTGCAAGAAAGCACGCTGAAATAAAACTTTTTTACGTTTTTTTTTGGTTTGGATTTTTTTGCTTAACAGAGTACATTGTTGGACTTATACACCTAATTAATGATCAGCTATAGGATACAGTATTTATATATAAGCGATAATATGGGTTTGTAACATTAGTTTTCAAAAGGGAAAGTTTTGTTCTGTATATTTTGTTACCTTTTGCAGAATAATAAAAGAATTCCATATGAAAACCAACCAGGTAACCACAGCACTTGGTCTGATGTGGCGTGAGGGCAGTGAAAGTGGTCGCTGTGGTCACGTCTGTACAAATGGTTTTTACTTTTAGTGTGTTTAGTGCATATAATTGACTGTGCACACTTCCATTTTCTGTCAGTTTCTTCTTTGAAAAATGTATGCTATTGTAACCATTCAGACTCCACGAAGCCACAAAGGGACTCTTGAATCTGGGTACCAACTGTTCCACGAGGACCGTGTTGTTTCCATCTGTGCCACAGCCTTGAAATGGCATTGAGACAGCAACATACATGCATGTTGGTCCTTCTCACTCCTTTCCACCAGTTCTTCCTCTCTACGCACTGCATTTTCCTTTCCAGTTGAGAGACCTATGCAGGTGAACTCTACCCTGCAGGCGTGTAAAGTGAAAGCAGTGCAAGGCACTATGCGCGGCAGGTGTGTGCTTGCATGTGGGGGGTGTGGCCCCTCACAGACATGCCTGGGCTCTGCTGTCCTCTGGCTGTGCTCTTTGAGGAGCCCTGGTGGTAAGTGGGTGAGTGAAGCTGCCCAACCTGAAACCGGGAGGCTCCTCATCTCCCTAGCGCTCCCTGGCCAACTAACCTGCTCTGGAAACCGTTCCCCAGGAGAGAAGGCGGCCTCTGAAGGGCACGTGATGAAGCTGTGGTGTTAAACCTGATAAGCACTGGCGTCCTGGATAATTTGTGAACATTTATTGAAATCTGGCCATTTCCACAGCTCAAAGAGCACTTGAGTAACATGGTACTGGCTGACACGTGGTGCGAGGTCCCTGCTGATGGAGGCTGGGAAGGGTCCCAAGGGTCTTCAGCCAGGACCCCAGCCCAAGTCAGACCTGTAGGCATGCAGTGCTGTATGCCTGCGCAGCCTGCAGCCCTGAAGCCTTTGCTTCAGTGCAGGAGGAGTGTCATGTCTGTCCATACATTGGGGCTGGAAAGGACCTTCTGCCATTGAAGACTTGATTGTGAGCACGTGTCCCCATCGCCAGCTGCATCCCGCACTGCAAAGGGAGCAAGACATTCAATCGTGGTATGAGGGCACCACTTCACTAGCTATTTACTTCTGTATGTATGTTGGAGTCTCACTCCATCGCCCCTACTGGAGTACAGTGGCATGCTCCTGGCCACCGCAGCCTCGACCTACTGGACTCCGGCAATTCAACTAATTTTTGATTTATTGTAGAGATGGGGTCTCACCAAGTTGCCCAGGCGGGTCTCGAAACTGCGGGCTCAGGCAATCCGCTCACCTCGGCTTCCCAAAGCGCTGGGATTACAGGCTGAGCCACCGAGCCTGGCCCAGCTTTTTAAAAATGAGGGCCAGCAAGAAAAGTTTTTCACCTCAAGACCACCTTAAGATGCCAACCACTGATGGGCAAGAGACACCCCCTCACACTAGCATTGAGACTGGGAGGCACTCGGGTCTTCCACAGGGGCTGTGAGGACCTGAAAGCCCAGAGCCTTATTTCCAACCCCTGGCTCAGTGGGCTGATTCCTCACCAAGGAGCGTAAGTAGTCCTAGTGTGGCTGGCTGGGTGGAAGCTGTCTCAGAGTGGGGTTCCTTTGAACAATAGGAATCTAGCGGTGAGTCTTGGTTATTTTCAGTGGTTCTCAGATCCTTGGAGACGTGTAGGTATCTTTGGTTGTCACAATATCTGGGGGCGCTGCCGCCAATAGGGAAGGGGCCAGGGCACAGAACTTCCAAGCAGCACCCTGCTAAGCAACTGCACAGCATTGCTATTTTGTCCACCCTTGATGAAGAACTTTCTGAATTGCCATTTGTTTGAGTTAAGATATTTTCCTTTAAGGAAATAATCCTTTTATAATTGATGCCAGAAACAAAAGCAAATACTGTACTGAGCCCATTCTGAGGCCTATAAGTTTTGTTTCTTTAGCAGATCTAAATCTGATTTAAATTGTCAAAATACTTCACTGTATTACCGCACTGTTATAGAGTAAGAACTAGGCTTCAGAATTTCCATCTTTGGCAGGCAATTTCAAAGCAGATAAATTGCTGCCCCAGTGGCAGCATTTTCTTTCTTTCCGTAGTACCTATCTAAGACAATCCCAGAGATGAACCTTGTTTGGGCCTCACACATATGTTACACTTACTTGAACCAAGTCTGGCTCCCCCCAGCAGGCGGTCATTCATGCCAAAGATGGCCTGGTCCCAGACTGTTAATTCCAGGCTTGACTGCCTCAGCTGAGACAAAGTCACACCACTGAAGACAAAGGAATGTTTCCACTGGGGACACGCTTGCTTCTTCAGGACTGGGGACTTCAGTCTCAGTTTTTGCTGGTCGGGCAGACTGAGACAGCTGGAGAAGGGAGATACATAAACACATCCTGCAACAGCAGCCTCCATACCACTGCCTATCCCTACTGGCGCCTGTGCATGCTGCAGACCAGAAGCAGTAAGTGCCCAGACCATGACAAAACCAGTACCCTGAGTGGTGGCAACCTAGAATGGGAACCACAGGCCTCTGCTACGTTACTCCTAGGACCCTCCCAGTATCTCTGAGAGCTGAATTCTGCATCAGGCGTGAAGGGTGAGTTGGAATTCTGAGGTCACGTGGCCCCATCATACGTCTACTCCATGGTGTGCCTGTGTCTACCCACAAGGCATCGTATGTTATCTCATTTTAAGCCTGTTGTTAGGAACTTAGTCCCAGAAAGGCTAAGCACCTTGCCTGAGGCCATGCACATCATCAGCTCAGTCCCACCTGCCAGGCCAAGCTTTTTCCTTGGTGTCACTGACTGAAGACTTGCCATTCAATATAATAATTAATGGTATTTGCATTACTGTTGGAGGTACCAGCACACCTGTAGTGAAGGAGACATGGGGAGTTGCCTCTTACTGTCCCAGAAAAGGTGCACTGAGAACATGCTTACTAAACATGCTACTTTCTCATGCTTGAGTTCAAAACTGATTAACTGATCTAACAACTGGTAAGATTAGGGTTTCAGACTAAAATGTATTTCATATCAAGCCCCAGCATGTCCACATTCCATGAATTTTTGGAAATCTGGGTCTTTAATATGTGTTACTAGATTTTCATAAGAATGCTAAAAGAAGACAGGGTTACAATGGCTTCCATTTTTGGGTGTCCCCGAGAGTTCTTAGACCATGCTGTGCACATACTAGATCAAATCATAATTGACCACATTTAATACCTACCCCTTAACGAATGAGTTTAGGGTGCCATCTGACCGCACAGGTAGATCCTTGGCTCCCAGCACTACCAAGCAGAGTTGACCATTAAGTGAAGGCTGATCTCCTGTTCCTGGAATGAAAGCTACATTAGCATGCAGTACCACCCCCCAAACTGATGGCTCAGCCAGAAAAACCAGTAAGTCTTCAGACCCCAAGAGCACAGAGAGGGAGGTGCACATCCTCATGAGATGGCCCTGCTGGCCCTGTCCACATGCCACGTGCTCAGCAGGGTAACAGGATGAGAGGATGGCTAAAATCTTGGCAAATAAGGAAAAGGAGCCCCCCAGGAGAGGCAAGATGCGGAAGTTCTAGTCTAGTTATAGCCAGTGGTTTTTGGGAAAGTGGGATCCTGTTCTGGGGGCCTAGGCTGGCCACCAGGTGCTTGTGGCTGGTGGCCCTGTGAGCATCTGTCTTCCTTCTTACCCCCTCCACCCTCCAACTTCCCATATACCCCGCATTATTTAAGGTAGGAAAGTCTCCGTAAGGTCCCCAAGGACCTGTCCTTCTTGACCTCCTCTTTCTGGGCAGTAGTTGCTCACATGACCCGGGGCTCACACCCTCTGAGCCCTGAGATGTGCCCTTGGTCCCTGAAGAGCCAAACTCCACACCCACAACATGTGGCCACGGAGCATCCCCTCTTCAAGAGGGGCCACAGTTTCACCAGAGACCATACAATCTGCCCCCTGGGAGGAAGGCCCAGGACTGGAGTCCTTAGAGCAGCATGGAGCGGTATAGAAGGCCTTGCCTACTTCTGGTCACCTGAAGCCACCAACCAGGCTGTGGGCTCCAGAGACCTCACTCCCAGGCGACTCCATGGTGACTCCACATCTCAGAGCTACTGATGTGGGATGGGGTGGGATGGGGTGGTGGAATTTGCCAGCGCTCCAGCTTTCAGGGATAGTGACATACACAAATGTTTAGGGGGCTGGAAGCCACCTACCTTCCTGATCCTCCTGGAGTTTCCTGGGCCCAGCAGGGAGGACCAATTTAGCCCGGACTACAATTTCTCCATTATTCTGAGGAACGCTGTCTTCGTATTTCCCTGCCTGGGAGCAAGAGGCAGAGTTCAGAGGCAGGATTTCCCAGGTCCCCAGAACCTTTTGGGCTCTTCTGGTTGTCTCAGCTCTGTCCACAGATGGTCTCCCCTAGTCCCTGCAAAGCCTCCCAGGCCCAGGAAAGCCCTGGATGGAGTGGGCTTGTCTGTGATGGAACTGGCCTTTCTTCCATCTGTGGTGACATCACTCACACCTAAGAAAACCTGGAAGAGCCGGGCTCCGTGGCTCAGCCTGTAATCCCAGTGCTTTAGGAGGCTGAGGTGAGTGGATTGCCTGAACCCACGGGTTCGAGACCCATCTGGGCAACTTGGTGAGACCTCCTCTCTACAATAAATCAAAAATTAGCCGGGCGTGGTAGCATGCACCTGTAGTTCCAGCTACTTGGAAGGCTGAGACAGAAGGATCGCTGGAGCCCATCAGGTCAAGGCTGCAGTGGCCGGGAGTGGACACTGCACTCCAGTCTGGGTAACAGAGTGAGACTCCAACTCAAAAAAAAAGAAAAGAAAACCTGGAAGCAAACTGAGTTTGCACAAAGGAAACAGAACCTGACCCCCCCCCTCATTTATTCCATCCTGGTCAGTGGAGATTTGAGCCACCCTTCCATGCCAAGGACTGCCACAGGCACTGGAGACAGCAGGAGGCACAGACTCTGGGCCCAAGGCCACAGGGGGGTGGCTCTCGGGTCGAGTCTAAGGACACCTCCCTGCCAACCAAGGAGGTTTTTCTGGTCATGAGTGATTCTGCCAGAAAGAGTGAAGGAAGGGTCCAGAAAAGAGGCGATCCTGAAATCCAACCAATCTTTCTTCCAGTTTTGCAGTGTGTGTATGTGGGGGGGGTGGGGGTTGTTTGAAGAGTATTGGGAAGGGTCTAGATAAATTCAGTCCACTGTGCTCCCACCAGCAGCAAGCAGCAGCCCTCCCATTTAGCCACGGGGCTCAGGACTCTGGGAGCCTGCATGGACCTGGCCCTTGGCTGCTAAGTGAGATAAGTCTTCCTCCACTATTGGCTGTCAGAAACAGAGGGCCAGCCTCATGGTCCCCTTCTGTCAGAACCCAGGACCTGCCTGGGAGTAGACAGGCCCCACCCGCTGCACAGGAGCGATGCCCGTTAGCCTGGTACTATCTGCTCCTCGCCCACTTGCCGGAGCAGTTAGGTCTGACAAGCCCTGGTGGCGGCCCATCTCCTGCCAGGCCCACTGTGACATGTGGGCAACAGATGTTCCAGGCCTTGTCCTTAAGCTGACCACAGGAGTGGGAGAGGCAGACTGCAAGGGAGACTTGTCCTCTGACAGGAAGATTTCAGAAGTCAGAGAGGACAGAGCTTGGAGACAGGGGGAATATGGAGAAAGCACAGATGCCAGATACTTTGCTGACCTTCTGCATCGCTAGGGCAGGAGCAAAGCGACACTGTGGGTGATGAAAAGGCCCCAAGATGGCAGGGCACCCTGAGCAGGGGGCCTGGAAGGGAGACCACTTTTGGCAGGGCTAATCAGGAAAGGCTTCCTAGAGGAGATTGGATGTAAGGGCCTTGGGCTGACCGTGGGTAGGGAGTGCATTCCAGGTGGATACTGGCCAAGGGAAGTCTAAGCGTGGCCACAGGCTTAAGAAGAGCCAGCACAGGCAACAGCAAGTGTAGGCACTGGCCAGACCAGCAGAGGAGACCACAGCAGGGAGGTGGGATGGGTGACACCCAGGTGAGGGTTCCAGGCTTCACCCTATGGTGGCTAGAAACCAGAGAAGCTTCCCAGCAGAGACCTTGTGAATCTCAGCCATGTTGGTTTCAGAGAGGAAAAGACAGCCCAGGAGGCCCTGTGTCCAGGCTGGAGAGATGACTAGGCCCACTGTGGCCTTTAGCTGAGGGGAGTGGCGCGTCCTGCAGAGGTTTTTCTTTTGTTGTTGGAGTCTCACTCTGTCACCCGGGCTGCAGTGCAGTGGCATGCTCATGGCCACCATAGCCTCGACCTGCTAGGCACAGGTGATCCTTCTGTCTTAGCCTTCCAAGTAGCTGGAAACACAGGCGTGTGCCACCACACCTGGTTAATTTTTTTATTTATTGTAGAGATGAGGTCTCACCCATTGCCCAGGCTGGTCTCGAACCGGTGGGCTCAGGCAATCCTCTCACCTCAGCCTCCCAAAGTGCTGGGATTACAGGCATGAGCCATGGCGCCCAGCTCCTGCTGAGGTTTTTTAAAGAGTTTTAAAGAGCTGATGGAGTCCATGTCGTCCCCCCCTCAGGGTTTCCCAGGAACTCTCTCCCAGTCCAGTCTTGGATCTTGGTGCGGAAACATGCAAAGCACATCTCCAAATGCTAACCTTGTTCTAAGGCCTCCCCATAGCCTGGGTGACGGCAGAGCCTAAATCAAGTATGGCCAGCTCCTCTCCTGGCTGCTCTGACCCACTGCTCATGTGCCTGGCTGTCTTCTGCCATGCAGTTCCAGAGCAGGAACATGGAGCCCCAACCCGGGCAGGGCTGGCCTCAGCCTTCCTGACAGCGTCTGGCCCAGTCAGTTCCCACCTACCATTGTGTTGGGAGTGCCTGGGGTTGAGAGTGTAGAAAGGATACATTATAGCTCCCAGGGGGATGGCATGGCTGAGGCAGTCCCCCTAGAAGGCAGCCAGGTTCCAGCAGATCTGCCGGGGAAGAAGAGCCTCCTGGGGAAGCCCCACAGCCTGGTCAGTCTGGTTTGTGTGTGTTGCCGAGGGTGGGGCTGTTCACAGATCGGAGCAGGTTGAAAAACCCCCAGCCTAACCCCACCTGGGGAGCCTGGGGTTGTGCCTTTTCTCTTCAAGGTTTCTGTTGGAACGTGGCAGGTGACAGGTCAAGCGAGCACGTGCTGTGTCCTAGGCCCAGAGCTTGCCAGGCAGGTTTTCTCTTCTGGGATTTCTCTGAAAAGTGGGTTTGTCCTCACTGGGGGGATGGGGCCCTCAGTCCCAAGCCAGACATCACCTTGGCCCAGAGCGGGTACCAGCGGAAGGACTGTGTTGCGCTGTCTTCAAAGTCCCACGTGGCCAGAGGAATGATCACTTCTCCAAGAAACACTCTCCGGGCCAGCGTGCCCAGGTGCCACACCGAGACCTGCAGCCTCCGGGTCACCAGCTGGGCAGGGGCCATCTGATACTGCAGAGGTAAAGCAGAGATGGTCAGCTGGGTTCCCAGGAACCACCCTTGCGGGGTCCATGCTGGCCTCCCTCCCACAGGCTGAGCTCCAAGACTTGGCTGCAGCCAGGGTCCTAGTTGTGGGGAGAGTGGGTCAAGGAACCGGGGCCGGGTCCCTCTCCTTTCAAAGACTTCCCTGACTCCCCAGGTAGCCAGTGCTCTGCCTGGGGACAGGCTAGGACAGTCCTAGAAACCACTAGCCCCCTCTCAGCCCTAAACCCCCTAGCCCTGTTTCTCAGAATAAGTTACGGATGAAAGTTCATGTCCAGCCCCAAACCCCTGGATATGAAGCCCAGGTCTTTGCCCACCCAGGATCTGAACTCGCATCTGACCAACGCTGCACACAACCTGGGTGTCCAACAATACTGAAAACAGGATTTTTTTTTTTAAGCTGCAAAGCCTGAGCCTTTCTCCAACGTTTGCTTTGGGCAGACAGTGCCTGTGTCCGGGCATGCCGGGCCTGTGCTGGCACTGCAGTGTTCAAACCCACCTTCTTACTATCCCCATGGGGGCTCTCAGCACACCAAGAGTGACAAGAGCACCCCCACTTCCCCCATGCAAGGATGGATCCTGCCCCCAGAGAGATGGGAAGCCAAAGGCCCTGAGTGATACAGGCCCCTTCTCAAGGCCGACTCCAACTCGGCCTCCGAGGGACTCATTTTAAGCTTATTAGTAGGATTTTCTCAATAATGAACAAAAGCTACAAGTTACTGAACCCTTATTTTTTTTCTTTTCTTTTTTGAGTCGGAGTCTCACTCTGTCGCCTGGAGTACAGTGGCATGTTCACAGCCACCGCGGCCTCAACCTGCTGGGCTCAGGCCTTCTGCCTCAGCCTTTCAAGTAGTTGGAACCACAGGCATGTGCCACCACACCTGGCTAGTTTTTTTTATTTATTGTAGAGACAAGTGTTGGGAGTCAGCCTTGGAGGCCCGCCTGATTGGCAAAGTCTAGGTGTGCTGAGGACCCCCGGCCGCAAAGCGAGTCCGGGCAGCTGAGGCTCTTTTATCTTCCATTTTTGCCGTTGGTATGGCTGAAGAAATTTTGTGTAGTCGTGGAAGAAGAAAATGGCATGTTTATGTGAAGTATTCACAGCTAACCTGAGAATGTCATGGTTTATTTTTTTATTTTTTTACTATGCTGCTTGGCCTTTTCTAACATATGCAAGGGTTAAACTCTGAAGCACATCAAAAATGCTTTCTTTCACTTGGTTATAAGTTACTAGATATTGCTTAAGTAATAAATGGTATAAGTATACTCACTCTTTATTTGATTTAAAATTATGTAGTTTAGTGTTTAGACATAAGGTTTTTTAAAAGCACAAGTTTGTAATAAGTTTATTATGAATTTATTATAAGTTTTAACACTTATATAGGAGTTATGTAGGTGATTTATAACTGTTTTTACTGACTTAGGATAAAGATTAATCGTACAAGGTCTTGCCAAGTTGTCTAGGCTGGTCTCAAGCCCCTGGACTCAGGTAATTCTCTTGCCTCAGCCTCCCAAAGTGCTGGGATTATCAGCATTGAATTGAGCCCTTATTTTTTCATAGATGACTTTTTAGAGACACTGATCTTTAGCTTTCCTAAACATCCTATGAGATTCACTATTTTGCAGGTGAAAAAACAGAAACTTGGAAAATCGGTGACCCTCCCACAGTCTGGCAGCTGTCACTATGTGCCGAAGTTGTAAGCACCATGTCCAGCCCTGAGCCTTGCTGCCAACCTCTGTGCCCTGTGCTACCTCAGCTCCGGTACTTGTTCAGGGCTTGAGTCATACAACTCCTTGTGACTCCAGCTCTTTCTGTGAAACCGGACACTCGCAGCCCCTTGCAGCAGATATGCAGTTTGTTTGCCTGGGGTTCATCTCACACCCACCTTTGGCCACTGAGGGAGATAAGATAGAATAAAACAGGAACCAAAGTTGGGTATGGTGGCTCACACTTGTAATCTGAGCACTTGGGAGGCCATGGCAAGAGGACTGCCTGAGTCCAGAGGTTCGAGACCAGCCTGTGCAACTTGGTAAGACTTTGTCTCCACAATGAATCAAAAAATTAGCCGGCCATGGTGGCACGTGACTCTAGTTTCATCTACTTGGAAGGCTGAAGTGGAAGGATCACTTGATCCCAGTAGGTCGAGGCTGCAGTGGCCGTAGTGTCCACTGCCTACTTCAGCCTGGGCGACAGAGTGAGATTCCTACTCTAAAAAAAAAGGAACAGAGACGCTGTAACTTCTTTCCATCTCCCCAAACAGAAGGGAGGCTGCTGCTCTGTCATGGGCCACCCTCAGGCTCCATCTACACCTCTGATGTCCCCAGGCCCAGGACGCACAGCTTGGCAGGTCATGCTGGCTTCCTGGCTTGTGTCCCTCCTTCTCTTCCCCACTAGTATGACTTGGAGCCGGTAAGGTCAGAATTCCTTGGGCCAAATTCTCTTCTCCACTGCCTTTGGCTGTCTGTTTTCCATCAAGTCCATTTCCAACTCTGCCCCACATCTCTCACTGTCTATAAACTCTGAATTGATCTGGTTATTCCTATATTGTGGCCACATGTCTAATCAGTTAAGTCCAGGCTGACAGCTGGCCAGCCATGGCTGCTGCCCTCCGGGAAACCAAACTGTGACAGGGAGTGCCACACCGGCACAAGGCCACATGAGCTCCTGCGGGCAGCCAGCCACTCCTGTCTCTGCTCCCTGATCTCAGCCGCAGATGCACAGACCTTCAGACTGCTTCTCCCCGGGTCTTTATTCATTGCTCACCCCCTTCTTGACAATAGGTCATTCTCTTTGGTAGATCGAATTTACTTTTTTTTTTTTGAGTTGAAGCCTCACCCTGTTGCCCAGGCTAGAGTGCAGCAGCATGATAATGGCTCACCTCGGCCGCAACCTCCTGGGCTCAGGAGATTCTTCCACCTCAGCCTCTGACTAGCTGGGGCTGCAGGCACTCACCACCATGCTCTGCTAATTTTTTAATTTTTTGTAGAGGTGAGGTCTCACTATGTTGCCCAGGCTACTCTCAAACTCCTGGGCTCAAGAGATCCTCCCAGCTTGGTCTCCCAAAGTGCTGGGATTACAGGTGTGAGCCACTGTGTTGCACTTTAAATCTGCCTTTTTAAACCAGATCCATTTTCCATCACCTTGTTAGGTGTACAAGGCCTGCTCCAGGCTCTTCTGGGTACGAAGCATAAGAACATTTGAGAGCCAGTCAGGCTATGTGACCGTCAGCTGGATCTGGTACCTCATTTCATCCTCCCCAGACCCCAGGACAGTGTCTTGAATGGGGTACAAGTCGCCCTGGAGTCCAAAGAGGCTTCCCAAGAAGCACTCTGCTCAGCACTTCTAGAACCTCAACTTTTTCACATGCATTTTTCTTGAAACCAGCTCAAGAAGGCATCCCAAATCACACACTGATGACTCGCCCCAGGGTGCACACATCTCCCAGGTGCCAAAGGGCAGTTAGAAATCCTGGTTTCCGTGAGACTTTAATGATCAAAGGCTTCCCGTCTACTCCTGGTTCCCATCTTACTCGCATTTCAACTGAGGATCAGGCTGACTGGGGCTGGGATTTTCTGAATTTAGAATAGAACAAAGACGCTGATTCTCTTAAATGTATCTGGAAAGTCTCCCAGGACTACAAAATATTCACCATATACTGGAGAAAACCCGTGGATTAAAATCTTAAGTGATTTCTTTGAGATTTCATTGTGCATTTTAAATAATGTGGGTAAAAGTCAAACTATGTAATTAAATTCTTATCTAAAACACAGTCCGTCTTCATGTTTATCTCATTTCATAAACTTCTGCTTAGCACAAAATATTTTAATTAGACTTTTGGTGAGTCATTTTAGATAGGAAATTAAAATGCGTGGGGAGATACATCATCTTTCAAAATTCTCCTAGCAGGTACGTGAGCAGAACCATTTGCCGAGAGGTCTCCAGAGACTCCCTGTTACTGCAGAGTCCCAAGCCAGTGGCAGGGCAGCCCTGAGGGGACCTGGGAGGGGGGTGCGTGGGAAGGGCCCTGCCCACACCTGCTGAATCACAATGTGCATTTTATTAAAAATCCCCAGGGAATCCCTAGGCACATCTATGTTGAGGAGCATTAGCCCATTGTGGTTTCGAGCTCCACTTCTAAGTATTCTCTAAGTCTCAGTTTCCCCGTGGGTAAATGAGGATTCTAATACCCACCTCTGGCTGTATATAAAGCACTTGGCCACAACAGGGGCACAGAAAATAATGACTATTATTATTTAACGAACCTAGGGCTCTGTGCCAACCACCCAGATGGCTCCTGACTGGCAGTTCACAAGGGCCCCTACTTGCCAAGAAAGGCGAACAAAGCCCTTTCCTGTCACAGGCGTGAGACAGAGGGCTCTGTGGCGGCCCAGCTCTGACAGGGGAACCTCCACAGGTCTGGGCTGTTCCCCAGTGCAGGGCCCGCCACCCCTAGCTCTCTGCAGATGCTAGACCTCAGTTCTAGCTTTGCAGCCGAAATCAGAGCACGGGGCCCCATCTTTGCCCTCAACCGTAAATCATATTTCTTAGTGCCAGAGAATGAGAAACCCCAAACAATTCCTTTATATACTTTTTTCATAAAATGATAATTCTTTTAGATAACATAAGAAGGAAACTGGGTTTGTCAGATATTACGATAAAGAAGCACTTTTACAGCCGGGCTCGGTGACTCAGCCTGTAATTCCACGCTTTGGGAGGCTGAGGTGAGTGGATTGCCTGAGCCCGCGGGTTCGAGACCCACCTGGGCAACTTGGCAAGACCTCATCTCTACAATAAATCAAAAAATTAGCCGGGCGTGGTAGTGCGCACCTGTAGTTCCAGTTACTTGGAAGGCTGAGGCGGAAGGATCGCCGGAGACCAGCAAGTCGAGGCTGCAGTGGCCGGGAGCGGCCACCGCACTCCAGTCTGGGTGACAGAGTGAGACCCCAACTCAAAAAAAAAGGAACACTTTTACAAAGACAGTAACTCAGTAGTTTCACTTTCAGGGTACTCTATGTGAGCACGCCTCTCTGATACTCATAAAAATTCAACAAGACAAACCAATTTTTAAAATTACCCTGAGCCCCATTATTAGCCTGAGACAAAGGCAGCCAGGTTCACCATTTTCTCAGAAATCATTAATCAAAAGCCATTCTCCAGTCTGACAAGCTGCACTTTTCCTGTACAAAGGCCGACATTTATTTTCTACCAATTTGCCACTGATTGACAGAGTCATGAAGAAACGTATAGGTGTCTGCACTATATTTAACTGACTCAAGAGTATGAGAGCACCGTCCGCTGGACTCTGACCCGTGTGCCTGGCCTGGGATGGGGAGGACTCAGCACATGAGTATCTGGCCAGCAAGTACCTTCAAGGTCTCCTGAAAGGTTGGGTCCACTGTGTTCCTTTGGACGCCAGTCTTGCGTTTTCCCTGTGAGGATCTGTCAGGTAGCAGGTAAGTCTTCACATACCTGGTGGGCAAGCACAGACAGGACAGAGTGAGAGCTCAGCAGGCAGAAGGGGGCCAGAAAGGGAGTTCAAGAGGAGCAGAATCCATGAACCAGCATCTTCTTGTCCTTGCTTCCCCTGGATTTCGAGCTGATAGAAAGGGCTTAATGAACTGCCTAACAGTGAGCGACATTAGTGCTGGTGGACAGCTTCTGGTACACAGCCTTTGGCCAAAGGATGGCTACATAATTCTCTGGAGTATTCCTGAGGGTGTGAAGCTCTCCCCGCCTTCCTCATGCCCTACTCATTTGTACCTGCTCATCACCTGCCATGTGTGAGGACTGTGGAACCTGAGATTCTCTCACTTACCTGGATGTCGAGGCCACGAGCCAGCCTCCCCTTCCTCTTCCCTCCCTCTACCTCTTCCTACCACTAACCCCCGACCTGCAAAAAAATCCAAAAACATGATAATGGAAAACATCTGCCTTACACTTTGCTGTTTCCTTATGGGGGCCTCACAGACAACTCCTCCTGACTGCCAAGAACCAGCATTCATGGGTGCTCTCAGCTGAGTCTGGAGACCACGCACAGCGTGACAGACGGTTCCATTTGCACTTGTCCAGCCCCTGAAATCCGTGCTTAGAGGAAGACATGTCCTGTTCTGGGCTAGGCTGACCTCTCCAGGTTAGCCCCTAGACTGCCCTTCACGGCTCCTCTGGCAGCCTCCTTGATGACAATGACCTCACCACCACCACCACCACCAGCCCATGCTCTGTCTCCACAGGCTAAAAACAAGCCCAACTTTCCCAAAGTAAAAAATAACAATGGCCAGGTGCAGTGGCTCATGCCTGGAATGCCAGCACTTTGGGAGGCTGAGGCAGGTGAATTGCTTGAGCCCAGGAGTTCGAGACCAGCCTGGGCAGCACAGCGAGACCTTGTCTCTATAAAAATTAAATTAAATTAAATTGAAATAAAATAAATTAGTCAGGCATGCTGGTGTATACTTGTAGTCCCAGCTACTCGGGAGGCTAAGACAGAAAGATCACCTGAGCCCAGGAAGTCGAGGCAGCAGGGAGCCGTAATCATGCCACTGCACTCCAGTACGGGTGACAGAGCAAGACTCGGACTCAATAAATAAATAAATAACCATGACCCTCCCTCTATCTGTGTCCCTCCTATAGCCCCAGTCTTAGGACTCTTCTTCCTTTTCAGTTAAACTTTTTGTAAAAGTACTCAAAACTTCCTGTGTCCAATTCCTTGCTGTTCATTTTATATTTAAGTTATTTATCATTATACAATCTCATATATGTAAAACAGAGCATAGAAAACATATCTATACACCTTGAAGCATTATAATAAAATACATACCCATGTTCCTGTCACCCAGCTTAGGAAACAGGACATGACCAACAACATCCGTATCATAAGCCTGCCCATAACCAGGTAAAAACCATGATTCATTTGATATTTATTATTCCCTGGGTTTTCTTCTTGAGTTGGCGTCTCACTCTTGTTGCCCAGGCTGGAGCACAGTGGCATGCTCACGGCCACTGCAGCCTCGACCTGCTGGGCTTAGGCGATCCTTCCATCTCAGCCTTCCAAGTAGCTGGAACTACAGATGCACGCCACCATGCCTGGCTCCTGGATTTTATGGTTTTGCCTCTGTGACTTGTCTCCTCAAACAATACGCTGATCTGTTTTTCCTGTTGTTGAACTTCTATACACATGGGATCATTCTGTGTACATTCTTTCGTAACTTGCTTTTTTTCACACAATGATGTTTGAGGTTTATCTATGTTGCCTTGTGTAGCTAGAGCTCATTCATTTCTAATTCTGCATACTATCCCACTGTACAAACACACCACAATTCATTTGTCCTCTTGATGAACATCTGTCTTATGTATAAGGGCTTCTCTGGGCCCATAAGCAGGAGGGTTAAGGTATGCTCAATCTTCAACTTTCCTAGACAACGCCGAATCTCTGCTTCAATCTCTTTAACAGTTACTTAGGTTTTCTATCTCATGTTAGCCTTGGTTATTTGTGTGTTTTAAGGAATGTGTCCATTTCATCTAAGTTGTTACATTTATTGGCATTAGGTAGCACAGCTAGCCAGACAGAAGACACTTCTCCCAAAATTATCCCCTTGGGACTAGGGGCGGGGAGAGTGCTGTGAGAGAAGAGCTCTCCTGTTAGGGGCTCACTGAGTTCTTTCTGCCACCTCCTTGTTCATAAGTGACTGCCTTAATTTTACACTCATGGCTTGGAGTTACCATCTATTCAAGTATATGTGGCATTTTGCCTGGTGTCTTATCACCTCTGTTTAGATTCTTTGTATGATTGTATATGTATAGAATTAATTTATATATTAGCTGTGGTAGTACTTTTCAGTGTGCGATTTCTAGTTTCTTTCACAAGCAAGCTTTTGAATTTTTTCTTTTTTATAAAGATGTAGATGTAGGGTACAATTCAGGGTTGGGAATACAAACGTAGATTATGCAGGTACCCTTGTTGATGAGGTATGCTAGCTTTTGAATTTTAACAAGAGAATCTTCACACTTTTTCTATGCAATAATTCTGAGATACATTTGTCTAGTTTGTTATGATTACAGAATCTCAAATCAGCCTCGTGTTTTAGAAGGGCAGGTTTTTTTCTAAGTTTGCTTTTTTTTTAACTGGATGAAAAATCTTCATGTTGAAATTAATCTTTCATTATTTTTACACTAGCCTTGAGGGTTTGTTTCCCACTGCACAGAAGAAACTCAAGCCTTAGATGTTTAAGTAAACTCTGTCTTAATTTTAGGATTAAAATATATGCAGGTAGCATGATAATAACATAAATATCCAGGGCTTTCCTCTGTCAAGTATTACTCTATTTCAATTATTAAAATATATGTTAATCTACTGATTTTTTTGGTTAATTTATGTATTTATGTATTCATTTCTTTTTCTTTTTTTTTCTTTTTTTTTGAGTTGGAGTCTCACTCTGTCGCCTAGACTGGAGTGCAGTGGCCGCTCCCAGCCACTGCAGCGTTGACCTGCTGGGCTCCGGCGATCCTTCCGTCTCAGCCTTCCAAGTAGCTGGAATTACAGGCATGGGCTACCACGCCTGGCTGATTTTTTTTTTATTATTTATTATAGAGATGAGGTCTCGCTGCTCAGGCGGGTCTCGAACCCGTGGGTTCAGGCAATCCACTCACCTCAGCCTCCCAAAGACACAGGATTACAGGCTGAGCCACCGAACCCGGCTGTATTCATTTCTAAATGGTCATTATAAATGGAACTTGTTCAATTTTAAGAATTAAACATTAAAGAGACGATTACTTTAAAAAAATTTATTGGCATTAAGTTACATAATATCCCTTTATTATTCTCTAATGACTGTGAGTTCTGTCATGCAGTCTCTACTTTCATTCCTGATATCAGTATTTGTGTATTCTCTCTCTCTCTCTCTTTTTTTTTTTTTTTGAGTTGGAGTCTCACTCTGTCACCCAGACTGGAGTGCAGTGGCCACTCCCAGTCACCGCAGCCTCGACCTGCTGGGCTCTGGCAATCCTTCTGCCTCAGCCTTCCAAGTAGCTGGAACTACAGGCATGCGCTACCACGCCCGGCTAATTTTTTGATTGATTGTAGAGATGAGGTCTCACCAAGTTGCCCAGGCGGGCTCAGGCAATCTACTCACTTCAGCCTCCCAAAGCGCAGGATTACAGGCTGAGCCACTGAGCCCGGCTTGTGTATTCTCTTTTAAATCCTGATAAATTTAACTAGATGGTTATCAATTTTATTAATCTTTTCAAAGAACCAATATCTGAGTTCACTGATTTTTCTTTCTTGTTTTCTATCTCGTTGATTTTCGTTCTTATCCTTACTATTTCCATCCTTACTTTAGAAACAATTTGTTCTTCTAGCATTTTTAAGATGGAGGTTTAAATGATTTATTTAAACTTTTCTTCTTTTTAAATATAAGCACTTGCTTTAGCTGCATCCTAGAAATTTTTAAATGCTAAAGTCAGGGATTACTTTTGGGACAGAAACCATTCCAGTTTTCCTGGAATGGTTTTCTGGAATGGCACATACAGAATAGGTGGAGGAACAGTAGAAGTTAAGACTAGAAAGATAAGAGAGATTCTGTTAATGGAGGAACCAGAAGTGCTATCAAAATGTGTACTTGATTTGGTACTGAAGAGCTAGTGAAGCTTTCAAAGCAGAAGAGAGTTTGATTCGTTCAACAATCCTTTTGTTTTCCTACCATCACTCTCTAGTTGGTAATTAAAGCAGGATGCTAAAAGTTTTCCATGTAGAAAAAAAGAAAGGCAAAAATAGAGTGCCTGCCTTAAACCATACATACAGAATTTCAATTCAGTTCTAATGTGAAAAGATTTAAGTGTGACAAAAACTCCATTAGAAGAAAACAGAGAAAAATGCATTTATAACCTTCAGGTGGCATGGGAATACTACAGACACAAAAAGCAGAGATTTTAAAAGAAAGGCTTGACAAATGTGATATTAAATTCTCTACAAGAAAAGTCATTAAAAGCAAGTTAGAAAACAAGTAATAGCTGAGCAACGATATGTATAATACATAAAAGCAAGAAAGAGTTTTTTAGGTATGAACAGGAAGTTCACAGAGGGGGAACCCTATGTGGTTAATGCACATACAAGAAGTTTTTCATCTTTGTTAGTAATTAAGGAAATGTACATTAAAACAATGGAATGATATACCACTTCACATGTATCAGTTGGAAGAAAAATTTTAGTCTGTTTAAGGATTATGTGGACCAAGATTTAAATTGTGTTTTTCCTGTACAGAAAGTCAAATTTTCCAGCATTGTTTATTGAAGTCTACCCTTTCCCAGCTGATTTGTAATAGTCCCTTGTTATAGACTGAATATTTTATGCCCCACCCCAAATTCCTAAGTTGAAGCCTAACACACAATGTAATGGTTTTAGGAGCTGGGGTCTTTGGAAGGTGATCAGGTATGAGGGTAGAATCCTCATGACTAGGGTCAGTGCCCTCATAAAAGAGGCCCCAGAGAGTTGCCTTGTCCCTTTCACCATGTGAGGACACAAGAAGACAACCGTATAAGAAGCACAAAGAGAGCCCTCACCAGACACCAAATCTGCCAGCACCTTGATCTTGGACTTCCCAGTCTCTTGAACTGTGAGAAATAAAGTTCTGTTGTTTATAGGCCACCCCAGTCTATGGTATTCTGAGAACAGCTGAAACTAACTAAGACACTGTCAATCACTTAGTTTCTCATGTGTGCTAAGGTCAGTATCTAGACTTTGGTTCTGCTCAGTTGGCCTACTTGTCTATCCTTGTATAGTCATTGTTTGAATGACTATAGCTTAACAGTCATTCCTTTTTTGGGTGAGGGGGGTATCACTCTGTTTCCCAGGTTAGAGTGCAGTGACGCAATCCCATTTCACCACAGACTTGACCTTTTGGATCAGATGATCAGATAATCTTCCTGCCTCAGCTAATTTTTTTATTTTTATTTTTGTAGAGACAAAGACTTGCTATGTTGCCTAGGCTAGTCTTGAATTCCTGAGTTCAAGAGATTCTCCTGCCTTGGCCTCCCAAATTGCTGGGATTACAGGCATGAGCCACCACGCCTGGCCCAGCTTTATAGTAATTCTTGAAGTAAGTCTTTTCATTTTTGTTCTTTTTTATAAATGTCTTGGTTATTTTTTCATATAAATTTTAGAACTCAATACATCTATCATTATGCATGAAACTTAAAAAAAAAAACTTACGGATTGCATTTTTTCTTTTTTTCCTCTCCATAGGCAAGGTTCTTGCAGGCCTTGATGCATATTTCTAAAGAATGGGTTGTGAAGCAATAACGAATGGCAAATTCTATTTCTCCAGTGACATTTGCGTTGTCAAAATTGTCCATCTCTGTACAAGTGCTGTTAATGCTAATTAAACTTCCCTGAAATTAAGAATGATAGATATAATACATTACCTCACAGTTGATTATTATTATTATTATTACTATTATTATTATTATTGCAGTTCTAGTTTCTTTTTTTTTTTTTTTGAGTTGGAGTCTCACTCTGTCGCCCAGACTGGAGTGCAGTGGCCGCTCCCGGCCACCACAGCCTCGACCTGCTGGGCTCCAGCGATCCTTCCACCTCAGCCTTCCAAGTAGCCGGAATTATAGGTATGCACTACCACGCCCGGTTGATTTTTTGATTTATTGTAGAGATGAGGTCTCGCTGCCCAGGCGGGTCTTGAACCCGCGGGCTCAGGCAATCCACTCACCTCAGCCTCCCAAAGGTGCGGGATTACAGGCTGAGCCACCGAGCCCGGCTAGTTCTAGTTTCAAGATAAAAAATAAATCAGAACTCATGCAGAACATGCATCCTGACTCACTTGTAGTTAATGATGTACCAGCTTGCACTTTGCCAACGCCAATTGCCACATGTTCTGTCCTGAGGAGATGGGAATCCTCAGAGGGCCCTGTCTCGCCCAGATGCAGTGTTTGCCCAGCAATAAAGGTTACGCAATCTCATTCTTTAACACGAATCACTGGGGGTGAGATGGACTATCATCTGTGCCATCCTGTCAGAGAACTCTCAGGAGGGCAGAGAGCACACAGGACAGGCTGGCCGTGAGAAAAGCACACAGTGAGGGTCCGAGTGGCCGTGACCAGGAATCAGACAGACCTGGACTTTCATGCTGGTTCCACTCACCCATTAGCTGCCTCAAAGTCTAACTGGAATAATAATCCTAATCTCATGGGGTAACGGTGAGGACTAAGTAGAAAAGGTATGTAGTGTGCAGTCAAAGATAACCAATGATGTGTTGACCATTTCTTGGGCACCTAAAATAGAGAATAAAACTATCATCACAAATCAGGGCACACTGAACTTACATGATGTAGAGAAGTAGCACGAAGTGCCTATGCCAGAAAGATACAATAAATCGCTATTAAATTTGCTTAAATATTTGCCACCATTTGCATGCAACCAATCTCAGTGCTGACTTCACAGGAAAGGAGAAGCCTAACTGATTTCCATTTCTAATTCCTAACTAGCTCCTCCACACGAGGAAACATCAGGAAAAGAAGCTAAGAAGGAAGCCTGAGGACAGAGTCAGAAGTACTGGAGAGAGAGAGAAAAATAAAACCACACCAACAACTCATCAGAGGCCTGAATCTGAGTTAGTTGATGCCAAGAACACACAACCAGCTTTGCCACAACTAGTCACTGGCTCCAAAAAATGTTATTTGCCAACACCACACAACTGCCAAAATGTAAAATAATTTTTAAAAATTGTACACACTCAAAAAGGTATGGAATGGTGAGACAACATGAATGAACAAGTTATAAAAGGTGGAGAAAGGAGGTTGGGTGCAGTGGCCCACATCTGTAATCCCAGCACTCTGGGAAGCTGAGGTGAGAGGATTGTTTGAGCCCAGGAGTTTTGAGACCAGCCTAGGCAACATAGTGAGACCTCACCTCTACAAAAAAAATTAGCCAGTTGTGGTGGATGTGCCTGTAGTCCCAGCTACTTGGGAGGCTGAGTGGGAAGGATCACCTGAGTCCTGGCGGTTGAGGCTGCAGTGAGCCATGATCGTGTCACTGCACTCCAGTCTGGGTGACAAAGTGAGATCCCAACTCAAAAAAAAAGTGGAAGTAGGAGAGAATGGATAAGGAAGCTTGGCCAAAGGTGTAAGCAGCCTGAGAGAAGAACCAGGTAGATGAATGGAAGTATTAGAAAATTCTGTCAATTAAAATGGTATTCGTCATGGGACTCTGCTTCAGGTTGTGTCAGACTGAATTGTATTACACCAACTTTTTGACCGAGAACAATTAGAATGCTGAATTTAACAACCAGACAAACTGCTTCAAGACATTGTAGAGCTGCCAAGACAGCCAGAGTGCAAGGGTCCAAGATGCTAAAGAGAAGAGAAGCACAAGCCTGACATTCTGAGCTGCTTTTTCCTTTGAGGCATTTGTCCATGTGTAAGCAACACAGGGCTGGAAGGCCAAGAAGCCAATCCAAATGAAACAGCTACAAAACTCAGAAGCGGAGCGACGTTTTCAGCAGTCTAACAGGTTTGGGAGACAAATATTAGCATTCAAGGTTATGAAGCCATGAACTTGAGGAGCTAAGTTGCTGGAGGAAAGGAAAATGCACTGAAGTAAGAGAGACACTGGATGCTGTTTTTCCTTCAGGTGTTTGCTGCTTCGGAAGCTGTGACTGAGAGGCTGAGAAGCTTAATACTTTCAGGGATTGGCAGTAGAGCGATACTCTGGGGGGCGGGGGACACAACATCAACAAGGGTACCTGATTTCAAACCAGACAAAGTGAGGACCAAAGGGAGGCCCAAATTTTACCTGTATCATAACCACTTGTATACCTAATCCTGAATTGTACCCCACATCTTTACAATAAAATAATTTTAAAATCTGAAAAAAGAATTCTTCCATGTTTCATCATACTAGAGAGAAAAAAATTGGAGCTCAGGTCTACCACAGAGAAAGGACTTAGTAAATATCTAGACTTTTAGTTTGGACCCCTCAAAGGCTTGCTTACTAGGAGTCAACTGGAAATGACCCAGTTCTCACAAACTGAAACCCAGCTTTGAATTAGCTCAACCCCAGACTAGATAAACACAATTTACCTCCACATTAGCTGTCTGCTGAAAGCAAAAGTGAATTCTCTATGAAGGATGATAATATCTTTCTGAGTCGCAGATTATCCTAGTTTTCATACACAGTGTCTAGCATTCAATAAAAATTGCCATGCATACCAGTACTAAAAGGTAACCAACTGTCCCAGTTTCCTCAGAACTAAGGAATTTCCTGAGATGCAGGAACTGAAGTGCTAAAACCAGGAGAGTCCTGGGTAAACCTATTGGTTGGTCATCCTAACTCTAGGATCCAGAAATAAGTGGCCAAAAACAGAGGGAGAAAAACAACACAATCTGGATCACAGGTGATTCACATATTGACATTGCAAGACATAAGCTTTAAAATAACTGTGACTAATATGGTCAAGAAAATATATGACAAGATAAAAAAATTTCTCCAGAGAACTAGAATCTATAATAAAGACTCAAATAAAAATTACAGTCTAAAAAGTAATTAAAATAAAGAATTGCACAAATTAAGTCAACATAAGACCAGACATGGCTGAAGGGAGGATTGGTAAACTAGAAGATGAGTCAATAGAAAATATCTAGAATGGTGCACAGAGAAAAAGGTAAATGGAAAATAAAAGGTATAAGAAATATATAGGACATAATGAAAAAGTATAATATATGTTTAGAGCCCCACATAGAGAAAAAATGGGGAAGAATGTTTATTTGAAGAGATAATGGCTAAGACATTTTTAAGACTAAAAGACTAAATTAAAGAGCCAATACACCACAAATTCAAGGAAAAAAATTTTAAGAAGTAAAACTACACAGAGGCACATCATAATAAAATGACTGAAAATCAAAGACAAAGAGAAAAACTTAAAGGCAGAAAAGAAAAGAATCTATTACCTTTGATGGAGGAATCAATAAGATATAACCAGCTTACTCTCCATTAGAAATCACAGAAGCCTGAAGATCTGATTAATCTAAATGGAGTCATGAAAAGAAGGGGAATGGAGACAGTGACACAAAGTAGAAGGAAAAAATAGACCACAAATGGATAATAGAAAACAAGTAGATAAGAAAGTAGATTTAAACCAAAACACATCAAAATTACAGCAAAACAGAGTAGACTGCACACTATAAGAAAAGACAGTGAGTGGTCTCAAAAATGTCTGACTCTATGGTACTCAGATGACACAGCTTAAATACCAATGTACCAAAAGCGGAGGACTTTTGGGGGGTGAGGGACTAGGAAGCCAGACCAGGGTAAGTTGTGAGTGGGAGGGGAAGACATGGGAATGCCAAGGGCTGAAAACTCAGAAAAACTTAGGTGAGGAGGGGAAGAGAAAATGGCAGTGGAAAGGGAATGGAAGGCTGAGGAAGGGTGCTTTGTGTTTTAAAGGAGGATTTGAATGTGCTTAAGGCCAATGGGAAGGACCTGAGTGAGGAGAGGCTGAATTGAGAGAGAGAAGGAGTAAGTCGTAGAATAAGGTGCAGGGTAGGCACGGAGGGTAGGATGCCAAGTGTTGCTGGGGGAGTCAGCAGCTTCTCCTGTGGGTAGGGAAGGGAGTGGGATTGGGTACGAATACAGTTAGGTTGACTTTGGGGAGGTGGGAGCGGCTAAAAAAATTTTTTTGGCATCAGAAGAATTCGAAAATTCCAACCTGATTCATTTCTTCTGTTGTTGTTGAGTCAAAGTCTTACTCTGTCACCCAGACTGGAGGGCAGTGGTGTGATCACAGCTCACCGCAGCCTCGACCTCCTGGACTCAGGTGATCCTTCTGCCTCAGCCATCAGAGTAGCTGGTACTACAGGCGCATACCACCATACCTGGCTAGTTTCTTGTAGAGATGAGGTCTCATATGTTGCCTAGGCTATTCTTGAACTCCTGGGCTCAAGCAAACCTCTCGCCTTGGCCTCCCCAAATGCTAGGATTATAGGCATGAGCCACCACGTCTGGCCTTCTTTCCTTTTCTTTCTTTGTAGAGTAGTAAGGGAGATTGATTTGTTGAGAGTGAGGAGGAGGAGTGGGTGTGAGAAGATTGGAGAAAGTGTGAAATGGTTGTTGTGGAGAGTAGAAGATAGGGTTAGCCAGACAAACACATCAGGGATGCTGGGCAGTGCTGAGTACACCTGGCACTGGTGACATGACAGGGCAGACCTGATGCCCGGGATGGGAGTGCATGTGTACTAGCATCAGGGCTGCCCATCGTGTGCCCTGCATCTTGGGTGCATGGCTACTGGGGTGCAGATGGGAAGAAGGCATACATCTGGGCTCACCTGGGTTGGCACCCAAAATTCTAAAACACCCGGGAAGCACTGTAATTACTCATCCTTCA